ATTTTCTTATCAGTATGTAAGCCTCGCTCCTGACGATTGTGTTATATAATTCTCCCTGGCACATGCAAGGAGATTTATTTCAAATATGTTCCTCTCGTTAGAGTCCAACCTTCTGTCTCCTTAGAGTCCATGCTTTATGACTCGGGAAGTCATGTCAATCCACAACCTTCTGTCTCGATGCTTTCTTCAAGTCTATGCTTTATGTCTTGGGTAGTCATGTCTATCCACAACCTTCTGTCTCGATACTTTCTTAGAGTCCATGCTTTATGACTTGGGTAGTCATTTCTATCCACAACCTTCCGTCTCGATGCTTTCTTAGAGTCCATGCTTTATGACTTTGGTAGTCATGTCTACCCACAACCTTCTGTCACGATACTTTCTTAGAGTCCATGCTTTATGACTTGGGTAGTCATGTCAATCCACAACCTTCTGTCTCGATACTTTCTTAGAGTCCATGCTTTATGACTTGGGTAGTCATTTCTATCCACATCCTTCTGTCTCGATGCTTTCAATCAGTAATGGCACAGGTGATCCCCCATGACACGATGTTAGACTGTGCAGTATCTTTTTTCTCGGTCTCCCTTTGCTTCCTTTCCCCTCCAACTTTCCCATCGGCAGACGAAGGATGAAAAACAGTTCACGACACAAATAAAATGTTTACGTACAGTGCTAGGTGTAACGAGGAAAGAAAAACTCAGGAACGATGATATCAGAAGGAGAGTCGGTGCATAACCAATACTGACCTTTTTACCCGGTATTCAACAAATTAAAGAAAGAAAGAAAGAAAGAAAGAAAGAAAGAAAGAAAGAAAGAAAGAAAGAAAGAAAGAAAGAGAAAGAAAGAAAGAAAAAGAGAAAGAAAGAAAGAAAGAAAGAAAGAAAGAAAGAAAGAAAGAAAGAAAGAAAGAAAGAAAGAAAGAAAGAAAGAAAGAAAGAAAGAAAGAAAGAAAGAAAGAAAGAAGAAAGACAGAAAGACAGAAAGACAGAAAGACAGAAAGAAAGAAAGAAAGAAAGAAAGAAAGAAAGAAAGAAAGAAAGAAAGAAAGAAAGAAAGAAAGAAAGAAAGAAAGAAAGAAAGAAAGAAAGAAAGAAAGAAAGAAAGAAAGAAAGAAAGAAAGAAAGAAAGAAAGAAAGAAAGAAAGAAAGAAAGAAAGAAAGAAAAAAAGAGAGAGGAAAAGACAATTTATTATAATTTCCTCTCTTTCTCTCACTACAGAAAGCAAATTGTCTTCATCTGAAATCAGCTCAATCATGTTACAAATCTTCAAATGACATAACACAAAGACGTAGGTATATGAACAGACAGGTAGACAGGTATACACGCAGAAAGATGGAGAGGTTGACAGGTAGAAAGACAGACTGGTAGAGGTAACGCTCGGGGTGGAGGCAGACAGACACTTATACAACCAGAGAGACAGAATAGATCTTTGTCAAGGTTGATTTATAACAATTACAATACAATACTGACAGAAGATAAACCGACGAACAGAAGAACGAACAGACGGACAGTCGGGCAGAGAAACAGGTGGGCAACACGGCAGGTTGGTAGGTGGCTAGTATGTATATCTTTAGGGAAGTTTATAAGTGAGTATTTAAAGGAAGAGCGATAGATACGTGTGTACTAATAATATAGACAAGAAGTAAGCAGCAGATTGCTGTTTTGTGTGCAGGGAGGTACATTTATTTTCAGATATGCAGAATAGCTGGTTTATAAGTAAGTAGGCCGAAAGGAAAATGTATAGTTAAGTGAGTTGCTGAGTAGAGAGGTTATTCTTCTTCTTGTTCGCTTTCACCAGCTGTAAACTCTGGCCGGAACGTTTTGGTGTGTTATCCACTTCTGAATTGCAGTCCTGTTCCAGAATCTGAGTGTTGCGCACGCATCCATTTTACAGATCTGACATTTTTGTATACAAACAATTGGTTCATTGTCTCTCAGGCAGATGCACTTCGCCTTCGAAGGAAGGTCCCACTTTGTCGACTCTTACGTCACGCTTTTGGGTATTCAGTGGGTCTATTATTTTCTTTCTCTCTCTCCTTAAATAGGGTCCCGGGACCCACACGGGGATAGAGAGGTTTGTCAGTTGCGTATCTTTTACAGGACGTTACATACAGAACCAACCCCAGCGTTTTGTGGCTGATGTTTTTTCTTGTCAAATTCTACCATTGCTCTCAGAAGAGTAGAGAGATAAATCGGTTATTTATACATACCAGTTAATACATCGTCTGGTACAATGGTTGTGAACTATTTTTGAAGTAGTAAAGTAAAGTAAAGTAAAGTAAAGTAAAAGTAAAGTGAAGTGAAGTGAAGTGAAGTGAAGTAAAGTAAAGTAAAGTAAAGTAAAGTAAAGTAAAGTAAAGTAAAGTAAAGTAAAGTAAAGTAAAGTACAGTAAAGTAAAGTAAAGTAAAGTAAAGTAAAGTAAAGTAAAGTAAAGTAAAGTAAAGTAAAAGTAAAAGTAAAAGTAAAAGTAAAGTAATGTAATGTAATGTAATGTAAAGTAAAGTAAAGTAAAGTAAAGTAAAGTAAAGTAAAGTAAAGTAAAGTAAAGTAAAGTAAAGTAAAGTAAAGTAAAGTAAAGGACCCCGTGTTACGTCTTCAAACGTACTGGGCATATTGTGCTAGACCAATGTTTCATAGACGAATCAGCACTCAGGGGGTAATGTGGTCAACACCACGCCAGCCGCGTTTGCTTCCCAGAACTGTTACCTGGTACCTATTTGGGGCCAGGTCGACCTGCGAGCCGAGGTCATTTGTGAAAATGTTCTAGCTCACTGGGCACAATGACTGACAAATAAATATACATCAATGTAGCAAAACATTCAGTTCGGTAAGTAGCTGGTCATGCATTTAGTAGACAGGTATGTATTTATTTAGGGAGGTATGTACGTAGGTATAAAGGTACTCATGTAGGGAGGTAGGTGTTTAAGTAGTAAGGTAAGTAGACGAGTAGGGTAGGCGGGCTGGTAGGTTGGTTGGTGCATATGTAAGTAGGTTGGTAGGCCGGGATGGACGTTGGTAAGACGGTAGTTAGGTACGGAACGATATGTGTAGGTAGTAAGGTTGCTGTGAAGGTAGGTCGATTGGTGTGTTGGTAGGTATATAGATGTGTATTGTAGTTAGGTAGGCCTAGAAGTTTGTAGGTAGTAATATTGGTAGACAAGTAAATAGGGGGTGGATAGGTTGACAGTGAAAAGATAGATAAGTGAGTAAATACGTAAGTAAGCTGTCTGGGGTAACTGTGTAATTAAATAGGTAGATAAATATGTCGATTAACAGGTGGGTAAATAGGCAGGTAGAGAGATACGTATGTAGATTAACAGGTGAGTAAGTGGGTGGGTAGATATTAGGGCTGTACGGAATAGTAATTTTCACTATTCGGCTGAATACGAATAACGGGACCAACTATTCGGCCAAATACGAATACGAATAGTCTATGAAATATAAAAAAAACACACATTTATAATGTCAAATGTACTATGAACTTTCACTTCACATAAAGTAGCACAGAATAGTCATCATCTTCTTTAGCATTTTGAGCCTTTGAGGTTTACTGCTGCAGATATCCCTCGTCTCCATTCATCTCTCTGGCTGGCCTTCTCTTCACAATTTGTGACACCAGTTGTTTGCAGGTCTGACTAGACATTATGTCTCGAACTTCCTTTTTTTTTTTTTTGTCTGCCTCGTGGTCTACGCCCATTCCTCTGATATGTGTATACAGTTTTATTTCGCTGTCTTCTTACATTCTTTCAATATGCCCCAACCATTTTAGCCTGTTAGTTCTTATGATGCCAGTGATCAATGGTGATTTAAACAGATTATGTGTTACGTTGTTGCTTCTCACTCTCCATTCCCCGCTGTTAGCATCTTTGATGGGTCCAAGGATTTGTCGTAAGACTGTTGTAATAAGGCCTCATATTTTTTTTTATTTTTTTTGTATTTCTGCTTCAAGTTACCGAGCCAAGTAAAACGACTGGTCTCATCAACGTTTTATATATTTTGATCTTGGTGTTGCGAGACAGACACTTTGGCATTAGCAGATGTTGAAGGGCATAGTATACTTTATTTTTTAGATTTATTCTCGATTGCATTTCTTCTTTCATCATGTCGGAACAGTTGAAGTTTGCACCCAAGTACTTATAATGTTTCCGTTTGTTTGATTTTCATATTATCGACTTTGATGTTGCCGGAGTTTATACTCTTTCCATGTCTAGTCACTATTCGTACAAAACAGTAAAAATTTAAAAACATTATATGTTTTGCATCCTTCAGTCACTCTGTGGTAACTAATACCTAGGAATGAAAGAACCCTAAGTATTATAACAAGAAACTAAACTTAGAAATTGTCACTGACAGCTTAGTTAATGCATGAAAGCTGCATTCGCTTTCAACAAAACCAATCGTTCCATCTTGTCAGCATTAAAGCCGTGTATGCAGAAGCGGATGTAAGGTAACTACTATTCGTATTCGGTCCGACCGCAGCTATTCGGCCGAATACCGAATAGTCAATAGATCCACTATTCGCCCCCGAAGCGAATACGAAGCAAATATTCGGTACAGTCCTAGTAGATTTATATGTAAGATTCTGAATAATAGCTGAGTACTGGGTAGTTGCCAGCGTCTGTGGCTTAGACGTTGCTATCTTCGTAATGCCGGGGTGCTGGGTTCAATTCCAGCTGCAGGCGAGTTGGCAGCAGACCATCTTGCGTTGTTATCGACAATAGTAACGAGAGTCAACCGTTTACAGCAGTGGCAAACTAGTGAACCAGAAAAACCACAACAGTTTGATCCGGACGTCCTGTAAAAGGATACGCTACCAACGTAAAGGGTTAAAGGGTTAATTAAGAAAAAAGGGTTAATTAAGTTTGTAGAATAATATATGGGCAAATGGGAGGCTAGATGTCTAAAAAAAAAGGCGTGTAGATAAACAGGTGTATACCTTCTGTACGTGTCGAAATAGTAAATACATCGCTTTAATTACAAACAAATTAGCAACACGTGAATTATGTGGTTTGGTCTAAAACTGTGTTGTCATAAATGTACTACACATTTGCTGTGTCAAAAACCTGGCAGGTAACCAAGCGTCCTTGACTACTGGTGCGATGGAGAAGGGTTGGAGAATAAATCTGCTTTGTTTATGCATGTCCTGCATGTTGTTCATGTTAAGCGCTGAAATGTTTAGAAAGATGGCAGAGTCCCTGATCTGTCCCAGCTGTTGGCATGTTCTGCTGTCCTCTATGATTATGCCGCCCCATGTTGTCGTATTTTTAGACACCGAACTCAGTAAAACCAAACACTGCAGTGTTTTTAAAACAACATCAACTTCAGTTAACTTTAACTCTGTCCACACACACATATATATATATAATGTAAAGAGACTGTTTTATATATATATATATATATATATATATATATATATATATATATATATATATATATATATATATATTATATATATAAAACTGTCTTTTTACATTATCCTCCCACTCGCATTGCTCTTTTTCTTTTGTTGGTTATACATACGTATGTCGTATGGTCTTCATATTTTCTCTTGACAAGGATGTGTATGTCATTCTTATAATATCGCCAAATTATGTTGTCTCTTTTGTGTTTCCTATTGACCGTTTGGGTTCGAGGGTTCAAATTTAAAAAACAAAACAAATCTACGGCATCCTAACAAGGATGTCGTAAGGGTCAAATTAGAGGTGTTTTCTTTATACATGATATGGAAGGAACAAAAAATTCTGTATATTAATGAGCCAATTCTGTAAAGCGGATATGCATGCAAAACTCAAGTTCTGAGTCAACACTAAAGTCCAGGAGTGAGCTAACAAACAAGACTGATCACCGGAGTTTACAGTCGGTCAGCGCTAAGAAGAAAAACGATATTGATCACTCGCGGGACAAATTTTTTTTTTTTTTTTTCAAGTATACAGAAGCCATGAGCTGTTAACCCTTAGGCTCGGTACTATGGATATTGCAACCCTTCGGCCTTGATTCTATGATACAAGTAGATACCGTAAACCTAGGAGAAATGTGGCTTTTCTGCCTACCCCAGGGCGTGAACCCGGACCATAAGGAGTTCGTCACCGGTCGCCGCGAAGTCAGGTTTAGTCAACTACGCTAACGAGCCGGGCATAGGGCCACCATAAGTCCCGCCCTGGACGGTATCGTTCCTCGGTTAGGCTCAGACTGTCCCGTCGATACTCAACGTCCTATGTTTTATCTGGACACACAGCCACCCTTCTCTGACCTTTGTTTAGTTATGTTAGTCTAAACACAAGAGTGGACGTCACACTCGTTGATACAACAGCTTGGTTTATTGCTGTTCGGAAAATTGTACTGTCCAGTCACACGTCAACAAGAGGTTTATTTACCTTTCGTGCAAACATCACACTCATGCCGGTGACTTGAATCCTAAAACCAGTGACACAGAATTGGTCGCCACTCATCCTGCTCCCCAGGATCGGTCCACCACAATCATAGCTACTTGAGTTCTGGATTTTTCGATCGTTGTTAACACTCGCTTTTCACAGCAGTTCTTAACAGTTCTTGCTCTCAGCTCATTTAAACCTCTCACACTTATGTCCAAACACCAACTGCCGCTATCTCATTTGTCCTTCAAAACCATTGTTTCCTTCCAATGGGTTTCGGTCTTCTAACTGTTCAGTCCCAAAGGTGAATATAACTCTTCTTGTTTTACCTGTTTCTCACTGTCCTGTTACACCACTTAATCTATCAGGAAACCCTTCGGAGGTACCTGGCAATTTCCTTTATTACATAGTTGTTGGTCGGCTCTGTGGCTAAGTCGATGCGAACGCTTCGTAATTCCGGGATGCCGGGTTTGACCCCAGCTATGGGCCATGCGCCTTGCGTTGGTTTCGGCAGTGTTATCAAGAAAGCCGACCTTCCAGAAATGCTGTCTTTGCTGATCTCAAGAAGATTTTTAAATAATTCTTGATTATTGCAGAGCACCCCTGTCATACGCTAGCAGCACTTCTGTCATACGCTCGCGGCACCCCTGACATACACTCGCGGCACCCCTGACATACGCTCGCTGCACCCCTGACATACGCTAGCGCCACCCCTGACATACGCTCGCGGCACCCCTGTTATACGCTCGCGGCACCCCTGTCATACGCTCGCGGCACCCCTGACATACGCTCGCGGCACTTCTAGCATACGCTCGCGGCTCCCATGGCATACGCTCGCGGCACCCCTGGGTATCGCAGGACCCAGTTTGAGAACCGCTTGTTTAGATGATGTTGCAAACTAGCCTCAACATTTGTTGGCGGTTGATTGTTTTACCAGGCTGTTCTACGTTTTGTAGAGCCCTGAAAAGGATTGTGTGGTAGGGTGCAGTTTTCAGAAAACGAGACGGAGCCGATCTCCGCCAAGCTTGATACAAAACTTTGCCAATGCATTAGCTATGAAAATTTTGGAGCTAAACAACTGCCTAGAGAAAGTGTCTTCTGTGTGTCGCGACATTTTGTAGAGGACCTGCTAAATAATGATGGGTTTGCCACTGCTTTCAACCGGGTCGACGCTATTACATATTTTAAAATATACACAAAGAGGGCCGCTACCAATACACCTGCAGCGCAATAATAACCAGTTTGTTTGAATTATGAAACTTTAATCATAACGATGTAGTTTCTGAGATGATGCTGCAAAGGCCACAGAGAGCCACAGCTGCTGACAACGACTGTCTGTAAATGGCTGACAAAATTTGAAAATTATATACAATTACAGTCGGCTCTGTGGCTAAGTCGATGCGAACGCTTCGTAATGCCGGGGTGCTGGGTTTGATCCCAGCTGCGGGCCATGCACATTGCGTTGGTTCCGACATTGGTATGAGGGCTCCACCGTCCAGAGGCAATGGCAAACTACTGGACGTAAATGTGCCTGGAAAAACCACACAACAGGGGCTGTTGGGGTTGGTTCTGCAACGTCCTGTAAAGAATACGCAAGTAACTAACATAGTTGTTGAGCATTGACGGGTCTGGCTGCACCTACCTAAACGATTCTGTGCGGACGATTATTAAAGTAACAGAAAATGTATTGATCGGCACTCATAGAAAGAAGTAGAAAGATAAAAGAACACACTAGACAACTTAAAAATCGAAAGCTATAGTTACCGTGTCGGGAATCGAACCTGTCAACTCCAGACGGTGTGTGCGCCTCGCTAAATAAACAAGTGCATTAGGAACATGGTCAACTAGGCCCCCAACCCCCCTCAAAAAAGGTGTCTTACTGGCCATGTCTATCGTACAGCTTGAGATCCACAACTGTGGAATACAGACAGAATTCATTTCAAACCATTGAAATGGCACCAAAGGTTACATAAATATATATTAACGAAGCATATGTCGAAAAACAAGCACAGCAACAATTTACGAACACATTAGACCTTAATGCTTCGTCTAGAATACACATAAATTTAAGAAAGGTATTTGATTGGTAATTTAAGTAGGGTTGAGCGCACTTTTAGGCGCTGCTAAAGAAAGGTTGCTTGCTATGTTTGATCGTGTCTCAGGGCATACACGTTTCTTCATTGATGTTCCACATTGTTTTAAACTGATAATATTGAAAGCCTTGCTTTAGTCCAAGATACAAGTATAAAGATCTCTGTTACATTTACTGAATTTCTGAAAAAAGTGTCTCAAGACCTTATTTCCGAGCCGTGCTTGTACTTTTTATAATTTTTTTTAATCTACTTTCTTTGACCTCATTTCATGATTGGGATATGGGTGCACAATACGTGTGTAAATGTATGTGTATGTGTGTGAGAGTGTGTCAGACCAACAAAGACAAAATCTTATATAACTTGTTTAACCTTCTAAAATGGTTATAACTAGGACCCTGTACTACATACGCCAACTGATGCTTTAGTGTGCACCATGCCGTCCTAGGTAGGCTGGCGACTAAGAAAAAGTAAGGGACTATATTTGTTTCACGCCGTTGGCTTTTGAGACATTACATTCATTCATTTTTAGAACTATCCGCACTCTGTGCAGCCTTTGCTTTCCATTATATTACCTTGTACCCATTTAAGGTTTAGTCGACTGTGCAGCCAAGAAGAATTTGAAGAAAAAAAATATGGCTTAGTGTGGGTTCGAACCTATGACGTTTCCGCTGGCACTTGATCCTCTAGCAGCTGGGTTTAGGGTGGGCGCATTAATTTACCACTCGATGATCTGAAGATTTGCTATTTTTGTTAATTAGTGCAAGATAATTGGCGCACGGTTTTATATGTGCTCTCTTTGAGAGAGACTTGTTGAGTATTTGTGACTTTCTACCTCTAGACAGGTGGCTAAGTGGTCTAAAGGCATGGCGTCCGCCTCGAGTGCTGGAGTTCCCAGGTTTAAGCCCCGGTGAAAGCGGGGATTTTTTCACGTAGACTTCTAGTAATACGGGGTAGTAAGATCGGACGCCCGTGTATATTGTTGCGCACGTTAAAAATGCCCTTGACAGTTGGAAATCGAAAAGAGAAACCTAACGGTGAAAATAATTTGCTGATAACATAGGCTACCAAGCACAAGTAAACAGAATTGACAAGACCACTAGCAGAAAGTTCTCACCCACCGCTGAGAGTGTAGATTACATATAAATATTCAAAACAAAAAGTGTGAAAATGAGAGACCATGCTGTTTATTACACGAAAGTGACTTTTACCTGAGTAATACCTCCTTAGATCTATCATTCGGTAACTGCCGTGGTATAGGAGTTAGACACTCGTCTGCGGATTCGACGGTTGAGGCTTCACGCCCTGACAAAGCAAGAAGTTAAATGACCTCTGCTCCCTGTGCGACTTAGCCGTACATGGGGACAAGATACGGTCCTGAGAAATTAGGGCGGTCAGCTTGATGTTGACCTCATTACGCACTGAGTGTCCATTGGTCTATATTATAAAGGTCCAGCCCTATATGTCCAAAAGCGTGAAAGAGGTCCGTTTTACACCTAGCATGCAATTTGCGTGCATGAATAAGACAACAACAAAAAAATGTGCAAATAAGTGTTGTAAACACTGTATGAGAACCAGTCGCGATATGCCAGGAATACCAGTTGGTGCACAAAATGTAAACAGCCTGGCATATGCTGGAGATGCGGCTTTGATCGCTGGAAATGACATGCAGTTACTAGACATGTTGGGTATAATGGTAACAGACAACGTTGAGCTTGGGTTTATGCTTGATCTGCTACAGAATAGCAATAGTAGCAATTACAACAGGACACAATACTTCGTTAAAACGAAAACTGGAGAAGGAGGAGGAGGAGGAGGAGGAGAAGAAGAGGAAGAAGAAGAAGAAGAAGAAGAAGAAGAAGAAGAAGAAGAAGAAGAAGAAGAAGAAGAAGAAGAAGAAGAAGAAGAAGAAGAAGAAGAAGAAGAAGGAGAAGAAGGAGAAGAAGGAGAAGAAGAAGGAGAAGGAGAAGAAGAAGGAGAAGAAGAAGAAGAAGAAGAAGAAGAAGAAGAAGAAGAAGAAGAAGAAGAAGAAGAAGAAGAAGAAGAAGAAGAAGAGAAGAAGAAGAAGAAGGAGAAGAAGAAGAAGAAAAAGAAGAAGAAGAAGAAGAAGAAGAAGAAGAAGAAGAAGAAGAAGAAGAAGAAGAAGAAGAAGAAGAAGAAGAAGAAGAAGAAGAAGAAGAAGAAGAAGAAGAAGAAGAAGAAGAAGAAGAAGAAGAAGAAGAAAAAGAAAAAAGAAAAAGAAGAAGAAGGAAGACGAGGAAGAGGAGGAGGAAAATAATAATAAGACAAAAGAGGAGGAGGAGCAGAAGGAAGAGGAAGAGAAGGGGGGGAGATGGAGGTGTAAAATAATAATTACATTGGTACCTCAGTATGCATCCGCAATAGGTTTATACGTAACTTACTATACGTCCTCCCCCTTGTGGGTTCCGAGGCCTTATTATAGGGAAGACAAGAATAGACCCACTGCCTACCCAAAAGCATGTCGTAAGAGCTGACTAATTTGGAGCTTGATTTGAAGTCGGAGTGCATCTGCGTGACAGACATGGAACCAGCAGTCTGCATACACATGAGTCAGATATGTAAAACGGATGCACACGCAACACTAGGGTTTGGAATACGACTACAGTCCAGGAGTGGATGAACAACCAGAACCTTCCGCCAGAATTTACAGCTGGTAACCGCAAAGAAGAAAGAAGAAGAAGAAGAAGTGTACATCCTGTTTAAATGCGAAAACGTTTGATTGACATATGACCATTGTGTAGAAGAAGAACAGCCTGTTAACGAGAACGTGTTGTATAAGTCCAAATTAGTTACGACACCGCGTGCTATCTTTATTTAACTGTCTCGGGACAAAGATTTCTAACCTCCAACAAAACCCGGACAAGGCGAAATAGCTGGCAGAAAAACAAGTTCTCAAGACAGAATTTTACTAAAGGTTAAATCTGATGATTCTCAACCATGTCCAGTTAGCGAAAACAGAGACAAAAAAAAATGAATAAAGAGAAAACCCCAACATTTCAGATTCCTTGAGTTTTATTGCAAGGGGACTGACTTCCAGACAACAGCATCCACCCATACTCTCCTCTCAGTACTCTCCTAGTAGGCACTTGACCCTTCTCAACAAATTAAGGTTGCATTTTCAGTTATTTTTGTTGTATTTTAGTATTCAGCAACATATACATTATGTTGTAAACCCCATCAATGTATAATTTTGTTTTTCAATTGCATCATGCATCTTATCAGTTGCAGGTTTTGGAGTTAACAAGATCGCATTATATGTAAAAACATTTTCCGTCCTTTTTTAGGATGAAATTTATCGTTATTTGAAGACTCACCCTGGCTCTTGCCGGGGGCCGCATTATAGCCATGCCAGAGGTGTGGCCAAATGGCTGAACGCGGTTTCTGGGACCTCTCCACCGGTGATCCTCATCCACATGGTGGCACTTTGTGTCATCGGGTGATTATCGCTTGTGTGATGTCCTGGTGGGGTAGAAAGTCAGTCAGTCAGTCTGTCAGATCGCATTATTATTGTTGTTAATATTTTCGCTGTTATTGTGTTGTACTGTGATGTCGGTTCTTGAATCAACTCGCCTCGTTGCTGTTATTCCTATTTGGTCCTTATGTGTTGTTGCTGCTGTTAATTGTTGTATTGTTACGTTATTCTCTAAAGTGATAAGATATTGTAGAGCATAGATCTAACCAGCTGCCATTTGTTGCCTTTCAGGATGGACAGTATCATTGGGTCGGTGGGGAGAGTGGCAAATGTCAAAGTTCGCAACGACGACGACCTCAACGACAGGGTGAACCACTTGTACACTACAGGCATCCTCATCATCTTCACGGTTGTTGTCAGCGCCAGGCAGTATGTAGGTGATCCTATCAGGTAAGGAGTCAGCGTTTACTGATGGAGAAAGGCGGACAGCTAGAAACAGAGAGAGAGAGAGAGAGAGAGAGAGAGAGAGAGAGAGAGAGAGAGAGAGAGAGAGAAAGACACAGTGACAAAGTGAGAGAAAGATACACAGAGAGGTAAAAAGACAGAGTGACAGAGAGAGAGAGAGAGAGAGAGAGAGAGAGAGAGAGAGAGAGAGAGATAGGGAGATACAGAGGCGAAGAATCAGAAAAAGAGAACCACACAAAGAGAGATGGGGGTGGGGGGAGAGAGCGTGCGGGCGAAAGAAAGAGACAGACAGACAGTCAAACAGACAGACAGACTGAGAGAAGAAGAGGAGACAGACGGATGGAAGATATAGACTTATAAGCAGACAAATAGATACACACATAGAGAGAGAGAGAGAGAGAGAGAGAGAGAGAGAGAGAGAGAGAGAGATAGAGAGAGAGAGCGAGAGAGAGAAAGCATGATACATGAAAGTGGGCAGGTGATATATTCATTAGGAGACACAGAGATATTTAAAGAAATAGAAGGAAACACAGAGACCGGAAGTTCGGAGTAGAGACGGGGGAGAAAATGTGTTCACAGACAGTAACAGACATAAGTGGACGTAGTGATTACCACTAACCCGCCCCACCCACCACCCCCACCCCCCTAACCCGCAAAGAGAAAGATTAGGACAATGAGAGACAATGAGGCACGTAGAGATAGAAAGACAAAGCAAAAGACAAAACCAAGGAGAGAGAGAGAAACAGAAAGACACAGACAGAGAAGGAGAGAAAGACAGGCAGACAGACTGGCATAGGCGGACAGAGAAGGAGAGAGAGAGCAAGAGAGAAAGGGAGAGGATGACATACAGACAGATAGAGACGTTTCTACGATAAGGTTTTGTCCCATGTCTTCTATATTTCCCAACAACCCTGAATGTATTTCTCCTGCAAGTACAAGTCTTAGAGAAGGACAATTGTCCAGTAACGTGCATACATATGGAAATATAAACCGAGTTTATGTCATCCAGTATATAGCTGGTCTTACCTATAGTTGCTTCGTTCAGTTGTTTGACAAAGACTTAAACTTTAAGAGGATCAGTTTCATTGCTTCTTGACATTTTCCTACAACTGCTCAGTCTCTCCGTAAAGGCGCATAGTGTCTGTACAGTGTGAAGCTAACCCCACCAGCTCTGTAGCTACAACGACGATACCCATCAATCTCCAATAAAATGTATACCCGTGAACGAAACAACGTAGTGCGAAAATGAACATCACCCTTTAGAGCCTGAGGCGAACGGCCTGACCGCTCTGCCAACAACGTTGTAGTCCTTACCCACACAGGACTGCAGTTTGCACCTGGCTAGTGTAACCGTTACTGGTGCACTGTTGATAACTTCTTTGTAGGTTGAACGGGGTATCTGCGACTTGCCTTGTTAGTCTGCCATCTAGATTAATGCATATTTTGTTTAATTCTCAGAATGGTATGGGAAACCTTTAAGTGGCAGCCTTGATGAATCGATCGACCAACGAAGCAACCCCAACCCCTTCTCAACCCCCTCCATTACGCTTCACCCATACCACCCTATCATCCGGCCTCAGTAAACAATCCTACTCCTAATGTACCACAGTTTCAGCCTAAATATAAATATGACGAGAATTTTTCGGGTCACCAGTCCCACTGGTCGGCTTTTCATTATCAAGTGCTCGGCCAGACGGCATTATGGCCATGTGTCTCTGCAAATCTCAGTACTAGGTATTTTGAACTGATTGATTTCTCAATGATATCACTTCAGGTTTTGAGTGCATGCATCTTCCCTGTGGCTACATACGGATGTGAGTCGTGAACTATCTCTCAGTCCTTAAGAAAGAGAATAGGGGCTTTCGAGCTGACATACTATATAAAGATTCTCAGAATGTCTTGGACAAAGAAGATGAGAAATATATTCTCATCACACAACCGACGAGGACTGACTGCTTCATCCTTGTAATTGTATAAAAAAGGTCAGGTGTGTATTCTTTACAGAACTACCAGAACCAACCCCAGCAGCCCCTGGCTGTTGTGTGGTTTCTCTAGGCAAATTTACGTCCAGTAGTTTGCCATTGCCACTGGACGGTCGGCCCCATGATACCACTGTCGAAAACAACGCAAGGCGCATGGCCCACAGCTGGGATCGAACCCGGCACCCCGGCATTACGAAGCGTTCGCATCGACTTAGCCACAGAGCCGACTGTAATTGTATATAATTTTCAAATTTTGTCAGCCATTTACAGACAGTCGTTGTCAGCAGCTGTGGCTCTCTGTGGCCTTTGCAGCATCATCTCATAAACTACATCGCTATGATTGCAGTTTCATAATTCAAACAAACTGGTTATTATTTCGCTGCAGGTGTATTGGTAACGGCCCTCTTTGTGTATATTTTAAAAACGGTATCAACGTCGACCCGGTTAAAAGCAGTGGCAAATCCATCATCATTTAGCAGGTCCTTTACAGAACGTCGCTCTCGTCGCGACACACACAGAAGACACTTTCTTTAGGCAGTTGTTTAGCTCCAAAGTTTTCATAGCTAATGCACTGGCAAAGTTTTGTGTTAAGCTTCGCGGAAATCGGCTCTGTCTTGTTTTCTGAAAACTGCTCCCACCCACACCGTCCTTTCCAAGGCTCTACAGAACGTAGAACAGCCTAGTTAAACAATCAACCGCCAACAACTGTTGAGGCTAGTTTGCAACATCATCTAAATAAGCGGTTCTCTAACTGGGTCCTGCGGTACCAGGGGAGCCGCGAGCGTACGACAGGGGTGCCGCCAGCGTATGCCAGGGGTGCTGCGAGTGTATGCCAGGGGTGCTGCGAGCGTATAACAGTGGTGCCGCGAGCGTATGGCAGGGGTGCCGCGAGCGTATGACAGGGGTGCCGCGAGCGTATGTCAGGGGTGCCGCGAGCTTATGCCAGGGGTACCGCGAGCGTATGACAGGGGTGCTCTGCAATAATCAAGAATTATTTAAAAACCGTCTTGAGATCAGCAAAGGCAGCAGTTTAAACCTGAAATAAAATGAATGAAGCCAAGAGAGTTCTGGTTGCAGGTGTATTCGGAAAATAATGTCATGTCAAGGCTACAGTGCATTGTCAATGTAAGCTTACACCAAACATTCATCGCGTTAAAGAAACTGAAAATTAAACTTGCACCCCCCCCCCCCCCACTACTTTTTCCCCTAAGTATTCAAACCACTTTAGAGGTAGGTGTGCCGCGAAACTGTTTTTGCATGACAAAGGAGCCGCGGCGAAAACAGTCTGAGAAACGCTGATCTAAAGGATATGTAACTAACTTTTTTAACATGAACTGACATGAAACCTGTAGTCTAAGAGCCGCCCAGACATTGATGTCGCCCATACGTTGCATTTACTGCCTTCAGTCCCGGCATACATCGCACAGTTCTGTCGGGGACGCAGTCGTGACGCAAGGGGGCGGACATTTCATCCATATATATTGCATTATTATCGTCATTCCCAATTCATTTTATTTAGGGGGAAAACCGAAACTCTAATATTTTTTGAAGGAAGTGTTTTTTGAGTTTCTTGTAAAAATTTTTGTATTTATGCTGTGACATCCTAGGTCATCTGCACTGAAGCGGGTTTATGGTGCCAGATAAGAGATGGCATGAAAAACAAGCATTGCCAAATTAAATTAAAGAAATAAATGGATGTTAGCAAAACACGCGAAATGTATGTGTGCATAATATGACAGCTCATGTAAGAAGTATGAACAGAACTCTGGCATAAGGACGAGGACAAAGTTGTGAAAGTTAATTGAAGTATGTTTCTTTATTATTTTTTGTCATCATGTGCCTTGCCAGTTGGTGTAGGCGTTCATGCACTTCACAGATCTCTGTCTTTGGTGTTCTGAATCAGCTCCACTAATGATATTCCTCCGTGCCACTGTCTTAGGCTACCCACTATCATTTATTTGTGTCTACCTCTGCCTCTTCTACCAGTGATCTTTCTAGTCGTCACTTTATTTTTCAGTGCTCCTTTTCTTATCCCATGACCGAAGAACTTTGCTTCTCATTGTTGTATATAATGTTCTACTTTCATTAGCCATTTTCATGCAATCATTGTTAGTTATTCTAACAGTCAGTTCAAAGTATTCCCAACATTTTTTCTCAAGAACCACATCTCAGTTGCCTCCAAACTCTTCTTAATTTGTTTGCTCACATTCCAAGATTCACGGCCAAACAACAAAACAGGCTCGATGCAACGTTTTATTGCTTGTTTTCAGACGTTTAATGAGAGTTATTTATTACATAAGATATTTTTCATCTTCTGAAATGTTGCCTTTGTCTGACAATTTCTACTCCTAAGTTCTGTCACACATCGTCCATCTGATGTTATGAATGTCCCCAAATTACTTGTTCAAGCATTTTCCTTTCTATTGCAATGGTAATTATTTATACGTTTATTTATTTTTAAATTAGAAGAAACCCATAGGTTAACACACAAACAATTTAGGAACGGGTCGTGTTTCATATTCTGACTTTTTGTGGAAGAAAACAAACGACGAGGTTTAAAGTTCACGGCAAGGCATGGACAGTTTATTTCTTGAGTGTATAAACTAACAAACAGCATCCTGTCTCGAAAGCTGAAATATTTTGGTCATATCAAGCGCACTAAAAAAACAAAAACAGACACAGATGATGTTAGTAACGTTGACATTAAGATACGTGGGCTGATCAAACACCAATATCGCCCTGTGCTGTGTAATGGGAGATAGTCACAAAGCACGATTGCATGAACTTACAGTGAATGAGCCCTGATGAAACCCTTCTTGGAGGTCTCGACTGGAAACATGATAGCCAACTTCTCATGAAAACAGTAGAGGTATCTTGCGGTGGCTGCTGCATTGGAGGACTGAGCGGGCATGTGAGTGCCCATGTTCAGTGGCGTCGACTGTAATTTCATAAGATAAGTAAAGATGAAATTACAAAAGAAATAATAAACAAAATGTGACAACG